GCAGTTTTAATCTGTTTATTAAGTCTTTTTTACACAGTAAAAAAATAACTCTCTGTTGCATCTGAACAAGTTTCTATTTTCATTGAATTCACAGTGTAATGTAGTTTTTACATATACTCATTATTTGTGAAATTGAAAAGCTCTTATACACGTTTACTAGACTTTTGATATAAATATTTTTTTTTCCAAAAGAAACTCGTCTGAAACGCAACAAGTGAATGCATACAGACTTGATTCGCGATTAAACTTCGTTTGAAGTCCAAGACGAATTATTTGACCTGCATCCAAATGCGATTAGGATAAAGATGATTTTCGTATAGGTCGAGTAATGCCAATCAATGCTGTATTCAGATGTATAGCAAAGTTTTCTCATTAGTCATTATATGTTTTTTTTATCTATAATAAAATCGTATTCAAGCGTGTCCTCTGCAGATTTTGTATGTAAAGACGTATTTGTAAGAACTTTATCTAGGTTGTGTGCTGTCAAGATGTTTATTCGCACATGTGGACACAGCTGGTTAATAAAAATCTGATGATTATCCAGTATTCATTCGTTCTCAAATTTATATAAATGTATGTGTCGATAAATTTAGTTCAGAAATGATAACCAAGATGATAATGTTGAGCATCTTTGTTACCACTAACTGCTGTTTTCTTTCCATATTCATACAATGCAATTTTGTTTTCGTTTGTTTGCATTTGGTGACATACTCATGATGTAGATTTCTGCCAGACCGATCTATACGATGCACAAAAAAGCTTGTTAGCACAGCTTCTACGGGGCTAAAATGTGAAACTCACATATATTCTCCAGCCTCATAAAACTAATACCAAATACGTAAAGTGAAAAATCTCTCGTGGACTATAGTTGTTTTGCAGCATGATCGATTACCATAGTAAAGACGTCTCTAATTGCTGGATTTTTAACAGAAATCGGAACTTTTTTCTATGGATGCCCAATTTTTTGTTTACATTGTAGCTATTCGCTCATTATTTTTCATTTTTTTGAATTCGTTTTTTTAATTTAACATCCTTATTATTATCATTGAACGAATTGACAAATAAATATGTTTTCCATATCTATGACATCTGTAGCAGACCATGCGCACTATTATATATATATATATTAATTAACTCAGAAACAATGATATTCATTATTTTTCAAAATTATAAGTTGATCAATTTTGTAAAAAAAACCTTTAGAAAGTCTGGTGTCTATTATTTTCTATTGCTAAAGTCTGTAACGTGGGAGAAGAGAGGAAGAGCCGCGAAACTTCAAGTTAAAACTTATACTCACTATTTTCTTCGAAAATATATGTGAATTCCACAAAATAACAAAACTTATATATCATCGTAGTATATTTGCATTTCTGTGTGAAGCTTACATGTGAAATATGATGAGAAAAAATACAACTAGCTATCTGTCTCCAAACAAGGCAAAACAGGTGTCGCACGAATGAGAAAAAACGAATCACAATAGTGAGCAGAAGAGAATCATCCGATTATTACTTACAATATGAAAAAAAAGCAGTAATATAATAGAGTCATTTCTTTTTTGTTAGATTCCTGTCAGAGCCAATGGAAACGATTGGAAAGATAAATGAAGAAGCATTAATCGATGCAGGATTCCGTAAAAGGTATTTTTATTTTAGTACTTTGTACTCATCGTACCTATCTACACATACTTTTCTAGGAAAACATGTAAAAAGAATTTTCAGATAATCTGACTGTGAAAATCAATGCACTCACCGACACTATAGTTAGAAAGTCCTTTCCAAAAAACATCTAATTATCCTTTAAATTTCATAGAACTTTGTGAATGAGCGTAGGCAAAACGAATAGAATAGAATATTTTATAACTCTTTCCAAGAGTTATAAGCTGTTTTACAGGTCATTTAATGCATATGTGAATACATTTATACATTTCAAAATTCATCTCTTCGATTTTTTTTCTGCATCTTAGTAGAATTGTGTCGAAAATTCAGTAAAATGATCATAACATAACTTCAAAGACACATGTCAGAGAATTCTTCAAGATTTTTGCTTGTCTCACTCGCACATCTTTGTATGTTTCATAAGAGCTCAAATGATGGTTATCAGTTCGGGTGAGTTGCTCGTCAGCGACTTTAGAAAACTTCTCATTACAAAAGCTTTATGAAAAGGATCTGACTGTTCTCTTATTACACTTGTTTTTTTTCGAACTTTTCATGCAATGACTTTGGCCAAATAAATGCAATGAGATGAAAACTTTTTTCTGCAAAAGAATCTTATAAGATATTCAAGGACTTTCGTTTTAATGTATCTTAGTTAATTGTAACAAATTGGGAACAGAATTCATTATTTGACCACATATCATTTATGAGTAAAAATATTTCTTTATTACATTTATACTTTAAAACAAAGCATCAGTGGAAACAGTACTATTTTACCTAGTTGGCTAATTTTGAATGCGATATGCAAGAGAACCGTTTAACAAGGAAATCTATGTGCATTATAATGAGGCGATGTCTGATTAGGATGCAGAAAAGAAAACAGGTACTATGATATGAAAACTTAGGTTTGTGAATAGGCCATCGTCAAAGATGCCAGCATTTATCATACAGCCAGTGAGTATTATATTATTAGTAAGTTTGTATTATGTGTGGTTTTCAGACACTTGAATAGTGAATCTTCAGAAAAAGTAATCACTTCTAACTATATCTTACTCTAATCTTTCTGTATAGAACTAATCGCGAAAACGCAGATGTATACAAGATCTTCAGTATACTTTATGGTTTAGGTAAGTTATGATCATCTTTGATCGTAAGTCAATCATAAATCATATTTTAGTTCATAGTCAACGATTGCCAGACTTCTTTAGAATAGATTATCGAAGTACCGACTCAGATGCCGACTAATTCTAGATTTTAGTAGGCCAATTGTGGCTGGTGATTTAAATACCAGTTCCGACATCAACAAATATCGACTGATACAAGAGTAACACAAGATTCTTTGCCTAGTATTCTTTTGAGTTCTCTCAGTACCTAGATTATTGGTTGAAAGCATTAATTACTTTGTCAAAATAGGTACATGTATGTACTTTTCAATCCCTGAGAATCTCAGTTCATATAAATTAGCTGTTTGAAATTCACAGTACCAGACATGGTGTAAATTGATAAGCTGTCGTAAATAAAATACGGTATTGTTGAAAGATTAGTTTCATCAAACATGAGAATTTCGTGAGAAACAGTAACGCAATCGAAGATGACGGTGAAATAAGTTTTTACAGAAGAAAAACTAGAGAAACAGGTGGTGCTTAATATAAATGATGTTGATAAAGCGAGAAATTGATTAGTAACATACCTTCACAAAGTATATTCACAATAAAATGTATTAGTTTCATTGCCACAGATACATGATATCGGTTGTATACTGGAAGATATCAGCAAAATCACCACTTTCATGTTGCACATGTGAGATGGCTTGTATCAAAAAGGATGCATCCATTTGTGTTCTATTTAGGAAGTATTCTTATAATGGAGAAGCGAAAGCGAGATATTGATTATATCATCTTTCGTCAAATATTCGAAATCAATGTCTGAAGTTACTACTATAGTTACTAGTTTTTAGAGGCTTATACTCTAGCATGAAATATTACAAAAGTTTCTTTATATAAACGCATAATAAAACAAAACAATTTGAATCGAAATTGACTAAAATAATTATGAAGTAATTTACCTGGAAATTTTTCCACTGCATAGCTCAAGAACTAACTATCGTAGAAACACTTATTTGCCTTTTTCCTATCTTTAAAAATTGTCTCGATACATTATCTTTAAACTTATTAACGTTTGAATTTCGATTCCGCATCGATTTACATATATGAACGGTTCGTTGGAAATTTTATTTTGCATTACTTACTGTCAATCAACACATAAGAATTGAACACTTCACAGTCGATTGCAATATTTCAGACACGCCTGTATAGCAATCTTAGAACTTCATATGACATGTGGATACACTTAAAAAAGATAATCGTGAAAGAAATAGAATTGATAATGCTATAAATTGACTCGGCACTTTCTCTGTCGCTTGAACTTCGATTTTTACATGTATTCTAATGAGATTTATCGAGCTCGCTTTCAAAATGAAGGCCTGAACAGATACTATAATGAGGTTTTTTGACCATCTGGATCTGGTGGTCTATACTTTCCACCTCATCTTGGCAATGAGGGTAACACGAGATTTTTGATACTACTATAAAACGATTACATTCCGATTTGTTGGACACTTCGATAATAAATTTTATACTAAAAATCATTTTACACTGCGATACTACAATTGAAAACTTCGCGCAATCCAATTTATTTATTTCTACATAGCCTATAGAGTTGATATGAAATTGTTAATAAAAAATATTTGATGATTCCATTCTCATCAGTTAGTAGATCTCGTCAATCTACAACGATATTCGAGTGTGTATCATAAAAACTGAATACGCTAATTTGAAGGCAAACTTAACAGTAGTCCTTGGGATACGAATGTATGCTTTCTTCACATTCAAAATCGCTATACGTTTCTATACTCAAAATTCGATGAATCTAAAGTTAAGTAACGGTTCAAGTAAGCTTTGTTCTAAGGTACCAAAAGAAATCAACTGAAATGTTATAAGAGACAGATGTACTTCACAATAAGACACATTATTTTTCTTGTGATCATTGTAAACACTATGATTTACGTTATAGTTGTTTTCATCGGTGGTGTGTCATTTTCTATTGCGTTCACCATTGTACCAAGAAGAGAAGCTGAAATTATCAAACACTTTGCTGAGGTAAGCATTTATATTCGTAGATGAGTTGCGACTCATGAACAACAATGATCTTAATGAATTCTAGATTTATTTCACTTATTTATATTGGGGATCGATCATTTGGATCAGCTTCTGTATGATTGATATTATTTGTCATCGAAGAATAGTCAAAATCAGTAGTGGTCCTTTGAACCGATTGAATTCGAAACAGATGAATATTACTGATGGTGTTTATCTAACACAGAAAAAAGTCGTATCAACTTCGTCAGAAACCAGTCCAAAATCTTTGAATACACCCCACATAAATTCAAATTTATTGGATGATCTCGGAAAAGATAATTTGGATAACAACGATGATGTACGACTAGAGACAAACTCCATCAAAACATTAACAGAGACTGAAGAGATGCTTAATGTTCGTGATCGTCGCATCGAGTCCAACTCTTCAGACAATCTCTCAGATCGATCATCAACAGAAAAATCATCATTGAATACAGCACGAGATATTTTGGCTCGACGACATGCTCTTGATTCAATCGAAAAACATGATCTCCGAGTATATGTTCGCCAACGAAGAAATAGTATTGTTCAACATGTTATTGGTTACAATTATGATGATAATTCACTTGTCGGTGGTCTTTATACTCGCGTAGGCATTGGGAGTAAGCTGAAAGATAAGATATTAGTCGATGTTGTATATCTAAAAGAATCGTTCTAGTTTTCTGTCTTGGTACAGTCATCCATTCGAGTTTATCAATTCTAAGCAATATAGAAAATCGCCCATGTACACGTTGGACAGCTGTGATGGACGATATCTCACGATTACTCTTCAGTTTCATTCAATTCTTCTTCGTGTTCAAACAATCGAACGTATGTTATTCCGTCTTACAACAATAAGAAATAATAAATCGAAAATTGATCATGATTTAGCTCATCATTCGAGCCCATGAGAGCCTAGCTCGTTTGGCAGTGATCCATATTGTAGTGACTAATTTATGTGTATGGTAGGTTTCTTGTTACTTAAAATAAGGATGGCTTAATTTTTTTCTATCATGCATTAAAGCAAATATCATATTCGAGAGAAGAAAAACAAAACCTTTCAATCCACGACTATTAATGCTTCTTTACAATTGCAATGTAAACAAATCGGGCCGTTTGGTTTCTCGTATTTTTTCTTTGAGTAGATTTCATGTGTTACTCATCTGAAAAAAGGGCTAACATGAAAGCTTTCTAAAAATAAATTATAGACTCTGATAATTTCATCGTTCGATTCATAAGCACAAGATAATTTTGCATGATGTATTCTTGTAGGTTTCGCATGGTCGTCATTGAAACCATTTCCGAAATTGCCGAGGTAGATGATCATGGACGGGGTGTAACACAATACAATATTACTGTTGACTACTTGAACAAAGGTAAGCGTTTATCATCTTCGATATCTATGCCTTTATTGTACTTGTTGGAAACGAAAAGTAGGTCAAATAAGCACGACCAGTCTGATTTATCGATTACCGTTCATTCATGCGGGCTGTTCAAATTTACTTATCAACGGATCAACAGTTAGTACCATCATTCGAGAAGGTTATGTGAGAATGAAACCGCTTCTGTATCCATGTACAATCGAATTTAGCCTTATGTGTCTCACAGTAAGCTCGACTTGTCTTTGATACACTCGTATTAATCGTTGTTGATTTTATCTAGCTGTTCTTTCTTATCTGGGAAAATATTGGAAAAAAATTTTCGCATAAAATATCGGATAAAGATTCGACAAAAAATGTTTTCACAGTGAATTGCCATGCCTCTGTTAAAGGTCTCTTTGCTGGAATGATTTGTTTCTCATGTACTATGCTATCTACTCTTCTCTACGCCATTTTTCGAAATAAAATTGGTGATGCTACTCATTCAGTGTCATCTACTTTACCTGATATGGCTTACAATCATTCACATATCATTCGTACGAGTAACAAAACGATATCGCACGAACGGTATTCAATAACGTCAATCACACCTAGTACAATCGCTGCTATTCATGGCTCATTCAATTTTGAGTCGATGAATCCAACTAGGATAGATAATAGTATTGCCATTCTTGAAATCGTCAATTTAAGTTTATTGAGCGTTTCATTATGCGCTACAATATGGTCACTAATTAAAATTCGCAAACTGAACTATCGTCGAACAGCAACACGTATGAAAAAGAAAGGACAACGACATTTGAAAACATATTTCTTTTTTTTTCAAATAGGTTTCGACGATGTTCTCATTATTGTCTCATTAACAGGCACCTATTTGTATTCGATCTTTAGTGCTTTCGCTATTATTAGTAACCTGAGCTCATCAACATGGGTCGCCTATGTTAAAGTAGCAATCATTATTTTAGGTATGATACACTCATGTTAGACTGAGATATTAACATCTGTTATGGAAGGATTTGTGAAATACTCCATTGATTTCACAATGAAGCTAACTTTCAACTAAATTAATATTAATCTTACTGATTTTATCTCTTCTAGAATTCGTCGAAGGTACTGTTCATGCATTGTTTATTCTACTTGCATTGCGCAAACGTTTAAAACGAACACCTAAACCCGAATATCCAGCACGTGAAATGATTACTCTGTTGGTCATACTTGATCTGAGTCTTTGGTTTGAAAAGACAACAACAACAACAAAACATGAAGCAAATCCATTTCAACTAGCCTTTTACCATGTCATTCCATGGTCGATCATTGCCGCAATAGCTACACCACTTCAAATTTTCTTTCGATTTCATGCATCTGTCTGCCTCTCACATGTGTGGGCTAATATGTACCACTTGCCATCATATCAACCAATACCTTCTCGTTCTTTCTGATGCTGTGGTTTTTTTATACACTATTATATTGTATCTGGTGTATATGACATATAGATGGATGATCGACATATTTACAACTTGAACTTGATTCTAATAGTTGAATGCATCAACATCGTCAGTCATTCGAATGCAACTGTATTATCATTTTTCACTAGTCATATGTTGAGAATGAAAGAATTGGTTACAGGAGTACACATTGTCCGTTTGTCATCTACTAACTGAATATTATCATCAGTCTCTTTGAGTTGAGTTATTTTTGTAAAAAAAAAAAGATAAATGAATCTTCGTATTGGCTTCCTCGTTCTTTACCATAGTAAATCAGAAAACTTAACAGATATGTCTACTACGCACACTAATACTTAAATTTCACTTCAATAGCTTTTCAAATGGCTCTAGAAAGGGCGTGATTGTGAAGTGTGGATGTGGGTGAGTGTAGACAAGAACCACATCCTAATATGGCAATTTTCAATGAACTCATTCTTTGAACGTTTCGATCATATAAATTTCACAGTAGCGCAATTTCGATACTTCCAAATATAATTTCGTATTACAGACGTGTTACTACTAAATCTGTGAAAGTGCAACATATTGGTTTTTCTTTGATACTATTTTAAGTCGACACAAACAGGGTATGGGTTTAGGTGGGGCTGCATTTGTACCCATACCCAACCTACACGCAAATAGTTATTCTATGTTTTAAGAGTGGGATTGAAAATAATGATTTTTATGTTTGGTATCGCCATCAAGCGTCTTAACAAAAATGTCATTTTGTTCAGTTAATTCAAGAGTAAAATCATTTCATTGGTTACTCTTCAGTTCCAAATCGACCACGATTGGTGCTTGGACAGGTTGATAGCTCAAATTACAAGTTGATGCATTCACAAATATGGTTGAACCATTTTCTAGTCGTCCATATGATTCATGAATATGTCCAAAAACGTGTAAACGAGGTCTGATAGACATGATCCGTGCAAGCATTTGAGCACAGCCAACATGTATGCCTGCACTATTTTCATCAAGAATATTTGTAGGTGGACCATGTGTCAAAAGAACATCGACATCATTGGGAATTCGGGACCATGCTTCTTTGATTTCGATACTGTTGCTTGGCAAATTAAAGGCCCAATTATGAAACTCTGGTTGATAAGGACTAAATGAGAAAAGAAATTCCAGTAGTACAGAGGCAAACAGAGCTATGCATCTTACCTACCATAAAATTTCAGGCCGGTGACATTGTCAATAAATTGTTGTTCTTCCAGATAAACAATCCCATAGTTGGCTGCCAAAGACGGATCACGCACAAGCCGCCCAATCAGTTCCCAATTTTGTTTTCGACCACGATGCCATCTTTCCCAATTTTTCTCATAAAAAGCTGGTTGTAGAGTTATATCATGATTACCCGCAATGAACACTTTCAATCGGTATTGAGTAAGAGATTTGAGACAAGTTATGAAATTTTCGATTTCACTTTGCTCGCCTGACATCGAAAAATCACCTGCATGAACAAGAATGTCTCCAGCCGGAAGTGCAAAACCATACCGTGAGTGTGTATCACTAATACAGACAATACGCGTCGTTTTAGGTTTGCTATTAGCCATATTTGAAAAAAATGTACGACGACAAGTACCAAGAAGACAATATTCTTGCACAGTAAAAAAAATTTGTATATTTTTTTTACTTATTATTCGTGTATGGTTTGTAAGAGAGAATAAGAAAAGAATGAGAAAGAGAACGAATTTTATACTACGCACATGGTGAAATTTGATTTTTCAACATTGTTGACAAAGTGTGTCGTCGTCACTGGGTATAAACCCACTACGACAAAATCAACTTCACATTTACTCTCAGGGTGTGAGCACAGTTATGAAGAAGAAAATGCTACCTTCTGTACCCACATTCAGACATTAATCGATCATACCAGAAAACAGTTGTTTGCATGCACAGCGGATGTGGGTGTGAGGGTATCGGTGTGTGGCTGTGCGAGTGTGGGGTGTGGGGTGTGGATGGGTGTAGGCGTGGACATCGTAGCCTTTTGATTCCTTGACAGTCATAACTACACTCAAGCCCATATTCACAACAACGTGTACAGTTCACACCCACACCTTTTTTCGAAAGATCCATAGCTTGAGTTTCAATAAGATGTGAATTAGCATCTAGCCAAAATGTCCATTTGTCAAGAAAACTATCTGGTAGGGGTTTTTATATTCTTGGTATTGCCACATGTTTCCATCTGTCTGCGAAGATTTTCATAATATTCTTTGAACTGTTTGAAACAGTCTTCTTCAATAGTAATTCTTTCGTCATAAAATTTCTGAACCATCTTCAACCATTGTAATTCGTTGACATATCGCGTACTTTTCAGCTGAAAAATTTTGGAACTATATGATCCACCATATTCTTCGCTTCCAATTAGTTACACTAAGCTGTCCGGAACCTTCTTCATCATATCCGGCTGCTCGACCATAAGCTTGCTCTTCGATGCGACAATTGACTGGTAAAAACGTCCAAATTACATGCAGTCCATAGGCTTTGACTATTTCTTGTTCAAGCTTTATACCAGTACTACGATCGGCCAAATTTGTTGCTACAATTACTTTTTCGCAGCTTAAGAACGCATTTTCTTGCCCAAAAACAAATTCTTCATGCTATCGTTTATAAACATAAGGATTTTTCAAATTGTCATAAAGTTCATTGTCTGGATAATGTTCTCCTTCTTCAGTTGCTTGTTTTATAAGATGTTTTGCTATATAATCAACATCCTTCACTGTTTCACCAATGATTAAGACAGAACGTCGTTTGAAAAGTTTCCTTTTTTGCTTCAGTATAAATGCTATATATCCATTGTTCTATGTAACCAGATATTATTGACTGTTCTTCGAAGAAATGCTTTGGATTAGGCGTTGAAATTTTGATCAAATTGACTGCATAGAGTTAATTGAGAAATGCTTTTTTCTTATGTTGAGAGTGTGGGTGTGGATGTGCGTGTGGGTTTGTCTAAAGTAAACACCCACACCCAGCATTTTCCTTAGCTACCCCTCCCCCTCAGAAAATATTTCATGGTCTTCATGATGTCTCTTTTTCAAGAATTCCATCGAAACCTACATCAAACTTTATCGACAAATTTCAAATATCGTTGAAAAAAATTCATCTATTCAGAAGTTATGGTGTTTTGAATTCCTGAAAAAGTTTTTTCGAAACGTTTTGAACCTTAAAAATGTCCTAGAATCTAGATGGATGAATTTTTTTAAACGATATTTGAAATCTATCGATAAAATTTGATGTAGTTTTCGATGGAATTCTTGAAAAAGAGATATCATGAAGATCATAAAATATTTTCTGAGGGGGAGGAGTAGCTAAGGAAAATGCTACTTTTTTTTTTTGTAAACTCCAAATGAAAATTTTTCTTGATAGAAACTCATCCTATGAGTCAAATATCAATGCCCATTAGTTTTCATTTGGGACCCATGCTCTCAGGAGAAAATTTAGCATACTCAAAAAATTCTGGCTCTGCAACTAGTGTTAACAAAGCAATAATTACAATATTAGAGAATGGAAGGACACATAAGATAAGAATGTATATATCGTTTCGAAGTTACATTTGCCGACGAAGTTACAATTTCGGTAAAAATTCTTGTTGAAGTTGAATTGAATAATGTTAAAATAATTGATGATATTAAGATTAAAATATGTTTTTGGAATTATAGTTTCTCATGTTTAAACAGATACATAGATTTTTAAGAACAATCATTTAAGAAAATCATTCAAAAGAAAAAGTCAAAGATTATATTCTCTTTATTGACATGAATATAGATTTATTTATACAACCATAAGTTCTCATAGCTGATGAAATAGATCTATGGAATATTATGCTATGATATGAGAAACATATTAATTTTATAGTAATAAGAAAAATTCAAAAATTTCTCTTCGAATTTATTGTTTTTTATCACAAATAAAACTCCAAATCATTCATCTATTAGGAATAAGAAATTTCTTTAAGCATTATTCAGATATTGTCCATCGAAGAATTAATAGATTTTTATACAATCTATTATCTTTTTTACTTTTCTCTTTATTTTGAAAAACAAAAACCAAAAAAAAATTTTGTTTCTCTTTTTTTCTGTTTGATTTTTGAACTAGTTCAAAGATTGAGAAAAAAAAATTCAATCAAGAAATATTAGATGTTGGTAAATGAATATATAATATCTTCAAAAAATAAATTAACTTTATTTGAAATATTGAATTGTTCTAGTTTTTTTAATTTCATTTAAATATAATGATTATCATGTAATTGTTTAATCAATATTTATAATACATTGTTTACTATAATTTATATATGTACTGTTTTTATTTTTTTTTCTAAGAAATAAATATTTACAGTTAAATCAGTACCTGATTTTATTCTTATATAATATTTATCTTTAAGTAAATCATCAATAGAAGCTAGAATTAATTTCTTATATACTGATAAATATCAATATTCATTATCATTATCATTATCAATATTATTATGAAAATATTTTGGAAATATATTATCCATAAATCTTCATGAAGATAGATTTCTCGATTGTTGATTTGTTGTTGTTTCTGTCGTCATATTTTTGTCTTTCACATTGGTTCAAATGAATAATCAAACATTTTTAAAGTTTCACTTTTAGAATGATTATATAAAGCAAAAAGAACATTCCTTTTTAATATGAAAAAAAAGCATTATATACCGAATATATTTGAAGAAACGATAGATTTTTTCAGTACCTTGTACATCTCATAATCTTTGTAAATATTTTAATATTTGACCATTGACTGATTTCTCTTTTATACGAACATTTGAAGGTTTTAATTCGCAAATATATTCAATAAAAATCTTCAAGATAGTCATCTTGTTGATTAATATTGATATTTATATTTTTAAACGTGAATTTAGTATGACGATATTTTTCTTCTAAGTAATATTTCTTGTGTATTGAAATATTTTTATGATGTAAAATCATTAAATATTTTTAATCGACTAACTATGAATTCATCAAATGATTCTTGAAATTCGTTTTCTATTTTCTTCGAGTATAATGTAACACTTTTAAATAGTTTTTAATACAAATTTATATACTATCATTAAAATGATGATTATTTTTTAATAACAAGTCAATATCGAATTCATGAATATTATTTTTAACATAATGATTATAACAATCAACAGGAGGTAATTTTGCCCATCTATCTTTTGTTGATAATGATCATTGCTCAGCTTCTATATTTAATCGTTTTCTTGATTCTTCTTGATCTATTAGTAAACTTTCTAGTTGTTTTCGTTTTGTTTCTTCTTCTGTTTGTATTTGTTTCGTTTTTTCTAGTTCAATAAATAATTGTAATTTTAAGATTTCAAAAGTTTGATTTTGATTGTTAGCGATAAGCATATATTGGAATTTTTGTTTTAATCTAAAAAGATAAAAAGAAAATACAGAATAGAGTTATTATTTTACTCTATTTCTTTGATCATTTTTTCTTTTGGGCTGTGCTCAAATAAATAGAATTTTGTCATTTGCTTTTTTAGTATTTCAACTAAGGGATCGCATTTTCCTTAGTTAATATTTTATTCGCATTGAATCTATACATTTAAAAAAACAAAATGAATTATAACAGATTTAGGTATGGAAAAGTTTTTCCAATAGAGTTTTTAAAGTAATAAAACTTGATGACGGATCAAAGTTATCTATTAAGGATAATAGATTTGAATAATCTTGATTAGTTTCTTGAAGATTTTTCCATAGTTTTAATGAGTTGGACGTTCTGTCCTTAAAACATTCGATGGTTCGAATTGATTCTAACTCTGCTTTCACATTGCTATTATTCATATACATTATAATATTTAATGCACATTTCAAATCAAAAGTTCTTTCATAATCATAAACTGAAGAATATAATGAATTCAATGATGATAAATCAATAATGAAATTTAAAAATTGAAGTCCAGCAAATGTTATTCTACCTTCTATTGATAATTCTTTTGTCATTTCATTAATGTTGTATGTTGTGGCGAAACCAAAATCAATTAATTTTAATTGTTGAATATGACTATCAAACATTAAATTTTCTATAACTAAATCACGATGAATAACATGACAATCATATAAATATTGAATAATATCAATAAGTTGTATCGATTGAATTAATGGTAAGACTTTTATAGGTTTCAATTCATTTGTAAATAATATAAAGTTACCTAAATAGAAAAACAAAATAAAAATAAATCTTATACCAATATGCAAGAAAAAGAAATTTTCGACATCAAAGTTATTTATTTCTAATTTTATTCTTTATTTAAACATATCTATAACTGTCATTTACTGTTTAACAAGTTCAACTAGAACAATCTCTGTTTTTTTTCTTCTTTTAAATACACTTACAAAAGTCGACTGTTTAATTTTTCAAAAGGAACATCAAATTTTTCTAAGAATTAAAATAATTTTTCCAAACACATAATGAATTTTTCGTATAGATTGAAAATTTCTTCTCAAAAGAATAGAACTATTAAAGAAAAATTGATTTAATTTCTAATAATCTTCGTATATTAATTTATCTCAAAGCGTTTCTCGTTCGAATTATTAATTTTTTTCTTTAATCAGCTTCAACCTTTTATTTTAGTACAACTATATAGAATAAAAATGTTTTAATTATTCGACTGGGTCATAATGAACAGGATGCAAATATTCTAATTATTCTACAGTGGCGGCCAAAAGTATGGCACCACTTTTTTGTTTTGAGTCGTGTATTAAAACTACACAACATTAATTTAAATTCAAGTATGTGCTTTGATAGCAGAGATCGAGCACTATATTTATACATATGTTCAATTCGAAAAATTCTCAAATACGAACTACTGTGAGAAAAACAAATTCTAGTACTAAGAAATAGAACTTACATAAAAAACTACAGATTGATGTTTTTGTTACAGGATGCTTTTATAATCAGTCAATCATAAAGAAACACAAAGCATTCAGAAAACTTTTCATTTTATCACATTTTGTAGAGCTCTTTTCTCTGTTCATGTTGGTAAAAAAAGATGTTCGATTTTATTGAGAGATGAATATGTTATAACTAAAATACTGAACAGTGAGATGTCCAAAAATGTCTTCAACACAATTTGTTTTGGGAGTATATCTGTACAGACAAATGATAAAACCTTGGTTGTTTCTTCAAAAGATGTGCCGTAAATAGATCTACAAAAACTATCCTTATTGAGTTGTTCTTATGGCTTCTTTCATACTCAGCATGAAAAAAATGCATGATAATGCTACTTTTCACCATAATTAACCTCATTAAAATGTTAGAAAAGCTATAATATTTTGAATGTATCTCAGTTTGAAAAAAATGAAAACACCTTGATTTTTGCTTGAAAAGATGTGCTGTTAAAAGCTCTACAAAAGTTGCATAAATAAATTCCTATTGTAACCAAAAAAGTCTTTCAGACATTTTTATGTTCAATTTGTAGTTTTTTATGTAATCTTTTTCTTAGTACTAGAGTTTGTTTTTCTCACAGTAGTTTTTATTTGAAAATTTTTCGAATTGAACAGATGTATAAATATAGTACTCGATCTCCGCTATTCAAGCATATACTTGAACTTTAATTAATATTGTGTAGTTTTAATATACGACTCAAAACAAAAAAGTGGTACCAGACTTTTGACCGACACTATAGTAGCATTATTTTATATCGATGAGATTTCTTCTAACAATATTTTATTGAATTTTGCTTTGTCCACTTGTGATGAGAAAGAAAAATTTTCCTATTTTGTTACTCGTTTAAATTTCAATGTGATGATATTATGTGAGAACTGACTTCAATCTATATGTATTTTCATCCGAAAACAATCCCATTCTTAGGGCAAATTAAAATGTCAACTGTAGCACTTTTATGATTTTAACTCTTCTGTTTTTCTTCCTCGTTTTGTATCAAGAAAAATTTTTTTTTCAAAGTTTTCAATCTCAAACAATTTCAAAAGCAATAAAAAACCAATTGGTAGAACATATCAAAAGTTTTCTTTTCCAATTCATTTCGTTTTGCACAAATAGAAAAAGCTATTCTTATCATTGATCTATTATGAATAAGAAGTTTTTCTATGCCTTATACAAATATTTTTTATCGAAGAACTAACAAATCGATTTTTATATTCTAGAATTTCATACAATCTACTATCTATTTACATTTCTCTTTATCTTAGAAAACAAACGAAAAAAAAACTTTTCCTATATTTCACTGTGTAACTTTTGAACATGTTGAAAAGTTCAAAAAAAAATCAATAAGAAAAATGTTACCTGTTGGCAATGAATATATAATATCTTCAAAGAATAAATTAAATTTATTTGAAATATTTAATTTTTTTAAATCTTCAATTATTTTTTATTTCATTTAAATAAAATAAATATTTAGTTTGTGTACAAATTTTTATGACACAATGTTTATCATCATCATTATTAATATTATTTTGATTTTTTTCTAAGAAATAAACATTTGAAATTGGATTTCGTTCTAATTTTCTTCTAATATAATATCTGTCGTTAAGTAAATTATCAATATAATTGAGATTTAATGTCGTATATTGGTAAAAATCCATATCCATTATTAAGAGTTTTGTGAATATAATTTATGTATCTTTATGAAGGTATATTTTTCTTGATTGTTGATTTGTTGTCATTGTTATATCTTTTTTTCGTATTGATTCAGGTGAATAATCAAACATTTTCAACGTGCGACTTTCATAATAATTATATTCATCTGACGACGGCTTCTTTTCTACATAGAAAAACTTTAAATATTTTGCATTTGCTAGAAAATCATAGCTTTTTTTACGATCTTGTAGTTCTAATAGTATTTGTAAGTATTGTAAGATTTGACCTTTGGCTGCTGCAGTTTCTATACTAACTTTAGGTCCTTTTAATTCGCCAAGATAAATAATAAAATCTTGAAGACAGACATCTTTTTTGTTTTTTTTAATATTGATATTTACATATTTAAACATAAATGCACAATCCAGACATTTTCCATCTAAGTAATGCTTTGTTGTATTGCAATATTTCAGTACTGTAGAATCATGTAATATTAATAATAATTCCTTTATGAATGTATTAAATATGTTTTGTAATTCTTTTTCTGTTTTCATGGAGGATAATGTAATACTGTTTAAATAATTTTCAATACAAATTTCTATAGCTTTACTGAAATGATTGTCATCTTGCAGTAAAAAGTTAATCCCAAAATCACGAATATTTTTTTCTACTTCAAATTTGTAAAAATCACTAGACGATGAATATCTTCTTCTACTGTTCCTTGTTGATGTCGGCACTTGTTCTAGTTTCCATTGTTTTCGGTCAAGAAAACTGAGCTCCACATGTAAACTCCAAATTTGGAGCTCACTTTCCCATCCACGTTTTACCATAAAATACAGTCGATGTTTTTCGGTTTAAAGCAGTACGGCCCTATTCGACTGAAAAACTAGGTCGAGTTATATCTGATGTTCAATAGATACATTGCATGGGATGCGAGTAGCATCAGCTGTGATGCTAGAGGCATTACCTGAATGCTAGAGGCATCATCTGGGATGCTAGAGGCATCACCTGAGATGATAGAGGTATCATCTGGGATGTTAGTAGCATCACCTAGGATGCTAGTAGCATCACTCGGGATGCTAGTAGCATCACCTGGGATGCGGGTACCATCACCTGGGATGCTAGTGGCATCACCTGGGATGCTAGTAGCATCCCAGGTGATGCTAATAGCATTACAGTTGATGCCTATAGCATTCCAGGTGATGCCTCTAGCATCTCAGACGATGCCTCTCGCATCCCAGGTGATGCCTCTAGCAACACAGCTGGTTTCTTTGGTGAGCTCCTAATTTGAAATTTACACAGTTCGGAGCTCACTTTTTTGACCCTGAACTTTATCACCTCAGCTGAGGTCAATGAGTAAAACGTGGATGCGTAAGTGAGCTCCAAATTTGGAGTTTACGCAGTTTGGAGCTCACTTTTCTTGATTCTTGTTCACGTAACAGGAAAAGATTTAGTTCTTTTCGTTTAGTTGCTTCTTCTGCGAACTTTCGTTTTGTTGCTTCTATTTCTTCGGTATGTTTTTGTTTTGTTTCTTCTTCGAACTTTTTTTGTTTTGTTTCTTCTTGTAATTGTATTTGTTTAGTATTCTCTTGTTGAATAAGTAGTTTTGATTTTAAGATTTCTAAAATTTTATTTCGATTGTCATCCATAATTTTATTTGAAGAATTCTTCGGTTTAATCTAGAAATAAGAAAGAAAACACAGAATAGTATTACTATTTAATGCTTGTGTTGTGATCATGTATATTCCGTTTTCCAAACTTTTCATTTTTAATAGATAATCAGAGAAAAAGCCATAATATATAATTTGATCCGATCTGAAAAAGTGTCTGCTAACTCTGAATATGAGTACAGCAGATTTCCATTCTTTTTTTCTTTACGAACGAAAAACTTGAATATGATTAGAGTGATTTAATGCTTCATAGCTCACAATTGAATTTTTGTTTTCTTTGCTTTTCATAGAAAAAGTCTAGTCTTTATTTCATATAACACAGAAGTACATTTACATACATAAAGGAACGATAAAGACGTCAACTACTAACTCATAAATGTCTGATATGCGTTTTCATGTGGCTGAACTAACACCAATTCTGTCTGGAAGATTGGATAAATTAAGTAGTGGTTTGTATGTGCATATAAATATTTTTATTTCTTATTCAATCACTATTGAACTGATATTAATAATGAAATTGACAGCGATAAAAATTCTTTATTACTGTCTACTCAGAATGACTGAGAGACTCTGAGTCAGAGCAAAAACAGTATAAGTAGAAGAGCGAACCAATAACAACTAAGATGCACTTATGAGTGTGAGTGCGCTCTTGTCTTGTTAGTCAGTACGCGTCCTTGAACTGCAATAATGCACTTTCGTAATTTTCCTATTTGCTTATTTTTTTCCTCAACTACTCCAATCATTCCGTGCATGACTGATAAGGTAACTGTTCTCATTCTAGTATGTACGCTAAGCGGAAAAAAGTCATCAAAATCGAGTTTTTACAGCCTCAAATTGATTGGACAAATTTCTACCCGAAAATTCAAGCTAATTTTTTTAGTTTGGAATCTCGCTGGCCGTTTCTAGCCCAAGCTTAGATCACGAGATATTCATAAAACTAGCGCCATCTATATGATAGTTTCACGAATATCTCGTGATGGCGACTTGGGCTAGAAACGGCCAGCGAGATTCCGAACTAAAAAAATTAGCTTGAATTTCTGGTAGAAATTTATCCAATCAATTTGAGGCTGTAAAAACTCGATTTTGATGACTTTTTTCGGCTTAGGCCTTGTCTCCACCAGAAAATTTAATACCGACTTAAGAAACTTGATTCGTGGAAAATTTAATTCGCATTTAATGCGCTTTCGAAAGCGAATTAAAGTTAATGCACCAATCAAAGTCTCATTAGGTTCATGTGCTCCAATTGAATTAATGAAAGCGACATTTTGTTCTAGATTCTGATTGATGTATTAACTTTCCAAGTGTAGACACGCATGATTTTAATACGAAGTTAAGGGCTTGTCTCCACTAGAAAAATAATACGGTATTAACTTCGTATTAAAATTATGCGTGTCTACCCTTGGAAAGTTAATGCATCAATCAGAATCTAGCACAAAATGTCGCTTTCATTAATTCAATTGGAGCACATGAACCTAATGAGATTTTGATTGGTGCATTAACTTTAAGGCCCCGAACAGACTGACTAATTCAAAGTGAATTAAGAAACACGATTGGCCTTTTTGCATAGCAACGCGAATTGTATTGGTTAATTCAGTTTTATCGTGTTCAGTCTGTTCGAGGCCTAATTCGCTTTCGAAAGCACATTAAATGCGAATTAAATTTTCCACGAATCAAGTTTCTTAATTCGGTATTAAATTTTCTAGTGGAAACAAGGTCTAATACCGTATTCTTTTTCTAGTGGAGACAAGATCTTAGCGTACATACTATTCTTAGTAATTAGTATGTACGCTCAGCCCGATGACTCATCAAATCAATATCAAATAATGCACTTTGGGGGAGCGCCACATGTCTAGACTTATTGTTGGAAGATACTATTAACACAGTACATTCTCGTACTAGGCCTATAAAAAATGGTGAAATTCGTTTCTCTAGCCCAAGAACGGTTTTTAAGATACCTGCCTAACAAAATATGGTATCCTATGGCAACGAAATTCACTTATTGAAACTTCGTAAGTAGAGAGAATCGAGTTCTGTGGCACTTTCCAATCAATTCAGCGCATCGACTAATAATGGAAGAGCTTGATTTGACTAAAAAATTGAGAAACTCAAACAAAATTTTTAGCCATGTCGTCTCAATAATAACGTCATTATAAATGATCTATGTTAGGATTGGTCAGAGTATTTTGATGATTTCATGGCACTGCCTCTTTTTTTTTAAAAACTAAATATACAGTTCGATAGAGGGTGGATGTGTGGGTGTGGGTGTGTGGGTGGGTGTGGGGTGTGGGTGTGGATGTGGGTGTGGGTGTGTGGTGAGGGTGTGGGTGTGGGTGTGTGTGGGTGTGGGTGTGGGTGAGGGTGAGGGTGTGGGTGCGGGTGTGGGTGTGTGGGTGTGGGTGTGTGGGTGAGTGTGGGTGTGGGGTGTGGGTGTGGGTGTGAATTTAAGTTTAAATCTTCTCGTCATATATACCGACATCCAGTTACCCACACCACACCCACACCCATAATAACACAGAGCACATTTGCAATAAGTCGTATTAGATCTAATATTTACGATTCACTGGCAATTCTTATGACAATTGAGGGGGCTCTGATAGCAAAGATCGGCCACAGCTCAAGTTACCAAACGAAACTAAAAAAAACAAATGCAATTAAATAATTAAGAAAACTAACGATTGGTATGTAAGCAACAGTTTTTTTTTCAAAATATGAAATAAGAACTCCTTCTTATCATTCATTTTCTTCTTGTTTAGCATGTTAGACTTATCAAATACATTGATTTTGAATAAAATGAGAAACAGAAAAATTGACGAAAAAGGATCGAGGCACATAAGATCACTAGGAATGAATTCGTTTTGATATTGCATTTGAATATTGCGTTCTAAGACTGCTAGAACGCAGTTTGTCGTTCAAGAAACGCAGGAAAAATTCTTCGAAACGTATTCCAAAAGAACTTTAAAAGCATTTTTACAAACAAGTTTTTCTATTTTCTGAGCACGATCTATTAAGCAAAAACATGTTTTTAAATGTTCTAGTTTTTGGATTTTTTTTTATGAGAAGAATACAGTCAGGGTGTGGGGATTAATCTTCCCTTCATTCATATTCACGTCATACCTACATTCATCTTCAATATGTATTTCGTTTTATAGAAATCGATGCAGAATTGAAATATTTTGCCAGATGGCTCCGGCCAAAAAAGAAAAGCAAACTTGTTGTGTAACGTTATAAGACAAATATTTCACAAATTGGATGACAATTCTGGCTATGGTAAACTAAAAGTATTTCTAGTCAAGAGTACCTTCGACACGATTAAATCTATTTGAATGGATTACAAAAAGACTCAGTATAAAAAAGTTTCACATCTGAGTGTAAATTGATTTGAATAATGTCAGAATAAAGATGTAGTGACGTTATCCGTTGGCTTACTTTCCAGAATATAGAGCAGTTTCAAATATTCTTCAATGGTAGTCAGACTACCTTAAATTCGCTCTTCCAGACAAAAACCAAGTGCTTTAAAAATATATGTTGTTCCTAGCTACAAAAAAAACTAGATTCATGAAATGAAGGACATGGATTTGAAAGAAACATACTATATCGAGTGTGCTAGGAATGTAACATCAACATCCTTCTTTATTAACAGTGCGTAAATAGTCTATAGAATTATCCTACTTTGTATTACATATGAATATTATATTAATAAATCACATTGATGTCATTTTCTGTATGATTGATTTTGGATCTTTTTCGAATTGCCAATTCATACTTATCAATGAAAAAACCGACTCATATCGGTAGTAAATGATGTTGTCATTCAGTAAAATATACTTTGAATAAATAGGATTCATCTGTTATGTCTGCATATAGCACTTAATCTTCATTTTACTATAAAAAACGAAAGTAAAATTGTTACTTTACTTTATCCAGTAAAGCAGAGTTAAAGGCCGACCTCTAGTTGTGTTCTGACAGAACTTACATAAAACTCATAGAAGTTATATTGATAGAAACTAGCATAAATATTTATGCCATTTGAATATGTATTTTTTCCATAGGCTAATGCGGAATAGAATTCTTTCAAGTGCCTGCAGAACTACTATGTAGCTATTGAATCGCCAAAAGAACGAAATGGCTGTATAGGCTGGGTGTGTGGGAGTGTGTATGTTTCTGGCGTTCATATTCACCCACACCCACACACACACCACTCTGCTGCATTCTAGAAAGATAAAAACAACAGAAATTGATGATTGTATGAATGATTACGAGAAATTGCTAATTTCATCATTGTATACAATGAATCACGAATAGAATCGCAATTTATTCGACACTAGACACTAGTAACTGTTTTACTAAACATGCAAGTCACATTCATGTATATATGATCATCGTCATCACTAGTAGTGATAGCATTGATATCAGGAAAATATCCTCGATAAGTCTTATAAAATTAAGTTTTTTTTATTAGTATTGAAATTAGCATAAAAAATTGAAGCACATTGGTAAGAACAATGGTCAAATTGTAAGTGAATTCGAAATACGCATGAAAATCATTCGTTTATATAGTCTTGAATGAATTTTCTTAATTTTAATTTAAGAAACGTTTCCAATACCTGTAGCCAGCGCAAGCGAAAGAACAAATATGATCAGAATGTGAAGTATAAGAAGAACAGTTTTTAATCGCTCTTTAAGTTCATTATCTCGGAAGAATCGTTCGTCAACCGAGGAAGTCTCACTATCATCGTTTTGAGTATCCATTGGCACAAGCTGGTATCTATTTTTAATGTTAAATAGTGACCATTTCTTACGATAGAAAATTTCAAGACATTCGAACAGAATGACTATAACAAACACCACTAACAACCATGCGACAAGTATTTCCCAATAGTTGCTGAGTCCAGAATTAAAACTGGTAAACAAAGTAGCAAGAAAAATAGCAGTAATCGAAAGAATCAATGCACCAATACCAACCACAGCATGTGCATAGTTAAAAATAAATCGATATCGATGATCAGGATAACATCTGAACAAAGCCATCATAGGTTGGACGATTGCAGCAATTACAACAAACATGCCGATAATTGAATGGGCATATTCACGCGATAGATTTGAAGAAGTCCATTTACCTCTTTTATAGATAAGAATTAGTATGAATGCAAATACCGTCATTATTGCAGCAAAAGTCATAACTAATCGATGAATAGCAAACCATATTGGTTTATCACAAATTTTTCGTGTTGGCCAAGATTTTTTAAAATATCGAGCAAGAATAATACTAGTTGAAACACATAACATCCAAATAAATAGCATAATAATACCATGAGCTCGTATTAAAACTACTGATCCTTCAAAATTGTTGATCGTTATTATTCCAGGTTGATTTAGTTGAATGGTTTGACTTAAAACATGTGTCAAGAAATGTTGCACTAATGAATCTATGATGTTAACATGAACAAAAATCGAATGTCTTTTTTCGTAATAAAAGAATCTTACTTGAACTATCGAGGGATCCAATGGCCACAAGAACAATATATTGTGTACTTTGTGAAAGCAAAGAAACGCTTCGTTTTTTTCGTCGATCTACTGTATTGATAAAATTTGAAAGAGTAAATTCACAATAGGCCACGCCATTGTTGAGAGCTATTCTCTTTATTTGAAATATACCACCAAGATTTGAATCAGCAGTCATTAAAGTTGGATACGAGTGACCGTTAGGATTGATAAAACGTTGAAGTTGAATTGTATCGTCACTCAAGCGTTGACACACAAATACATGATCATTACCCTACATAAAAAAGCCACCAACAAATGAAATAAAGCTTTCAATTGTCCCATACCATTCTGTCATCAAGCGACAAGCCGATACCAAGCCATTGAGATGTTCCAAGATAGTTGGTAGCTATTGCAATAGTTGTTGTACCGTCAGCATATGTCCAGTTCAAAACCAATGCTGCACCAGTCCGTTGAGGACTGATCGTAGTGGTGGCAACCACTGATGGCATCGAAGTCTGATAGACAACAAGAAATACATTTAAAAGACTCAAAAAGAATGAAAATAATATCTAAATCCTACAGTAGCTGTGTGCAAAATTGCATTGGTGATTATAATTGAATCACGAGGTGATCCTGTGGAAGAAGTCACTGATACAGAATTCTAAAACAAATATGGTCAATCAAATAAGGAATGAAAATCTTCAGTCAATTGGATGACCTACATTTTGAGAAGTCAGTATAATGCTGAAGCAGTTGACATAGAACCTGCTGTATGTGTAAACGATAGTTGCTCTAAGAATTCATAAGAGTTATAAAATGTTTTCTGTTTCCAAAAAAAAAAATTCTTCACATAATAATAGGAAGTTATTAAATTTCATTCTCAAGACAATTAACAAACTGGAAAAGTTCAAGCTTTCATTAGTTAGACTTGCTTTTGCAATAGATTTTACTTCATATTAGCCATTCTCATCTTCGTTATCAATGAGAAATGAGCTCATATGATGATTTTATCACAGCATTTGTCCCTAGTAATCAGAATATGAGGATATAACTGGTTTTGTTATTTTACTACTAGTTCACATGCTTTTCAATTACTTTTAACGTTCTCCTGATCGATTTAAATTAAACTAGATTAATCTATTAATGCTTTAACAGTTGTTCAACCCATCATTTTTCGCGAACTTTTCTTCTATATATTTATTTATTTTTTTTCGAAAGAGAATATCAAGATCTAGGGCATGACAGAATTCTCTTTTTTTTTGAATTGATCTTTGCTACTATTATTTAAACGACAAGTTTTTGGGAGCTTTTTGAGACATTGTACTTTTCATGACTTTTTACCGCTATAAAAGAATTTAAAACACAGAACTCTGTCATACTTTTTCCAACAAAAAAAACATATATTGAATGAGAACTAACAGGAAATTTGTGGCTGGCAAATGAGCTATTTTTAATCCATGTCTGGTAAATATCTCTTTAAAACGACACGTTATAGAACTAAAAACTTTCGTGGGATTTATATGTACCTGGCACAAAATCATTGTTTGAGAAGAGGAGTGATTCTTATGTAAAGTTGTACGAAAAGAAATCGTAAATGGTGATAATGGTGAAATAATGAAAGTTAGAACTTTCAAAGTTTGATTGATTGTTCTAGAAATGAAACTCAATTGGTTTCAGAGTTATCAAAAGAAAAAAAAACACAAAAATATATGACATATAATTCACTTCGATTTTGTTGATAGATGTTGTGCACAGAGACAGAGAGAGAAACTTACTTGATAACAATATTTCCGTTGACTGTCGTCGATGGAGAGCTCCAATTCGCTTGAATTTGATATTTATTGTCTGGTGATACGTGTGTTATACCATTTGAGGATGTACCATCACAAGAAACAACAGTAACTGATAAATCTGTCGATGACCAACTGCCCACAATGTTTTGACTAGTCATATCTTTGGCAACCAAAAGAATACCTCTGAAAGTATTGGTGTTTGTTGCACCCCGAACAGTAACTGAAAAAAGTCAAGTGAATCGAAAAGAAAATAAGAAATTGAATCATTCACTTTGAATATTGTCGTTATTGTTGTATTGATACTTGTTCGCTTGGATCACATAATTCGACTGACATGTTTTTGAACCGATTTCATGAGAGGGCATCATTGAACCACAAGCAGTGGATGGTGCACCAGATGGATAAGTTTGAGCGATTCTTGCACGGTCAAAGACAAGAATAATCAACAGACTAGCGAACACTCTCATCTAAAAGTTCATACGTATTATCATAGATTTGTATCTTTTTGAACTAAACATAAAACAACTTCTGAAAAGTAATATGTTACCGATATTTTTCTGAAATAGAATAAACATTACATGAACAGAAAACAAAAGTGATACAGGCATAAAAGTCGTTAACTAATTTTATTCTCTTTCTTACACAAAAAGCTGTATTTTCTTTTGACATCTATTTATATTCATTTCGACCGTCTCTTTGCCATAATTACATACTATTTACTAGTGACTCTGTAGGCAAGTATAGATATTTTTGTATAACAACCTTCGCCTGCCTATATAAATTCTAGAAGCATAAGAGCAAGAAAGGAAAAGTACAAAACATTAAATGTTCCTCAAAGTATTACTCATATTCATATATAGTAACCATCAAGAATAGAGGCTTTATCACTGAGCCCAGTTTGCAAAACTTCGACAGTTTACTTATCACTGGACTTGAAAAAAATGATCGAAATCAATTCTCTTATTTTATGATTAACTGTAAAATGAATAACGATCACTTATATTTTTCCAAACCGATTCGAGTTTATATGATATTGTAGTAAACACATCCTTACCAAAGGGATAAATGAAGAATTTATAATCGTGTGCCAAATGAATCGTTTCTAAATTTTACTATGTAAAATTCTGAAATATTTACTTCTGTTCACCTCTTTTTCTCCTCGATTCGTACTAATATATTTTTTGTTATTATTTTATTTATTCCTTCATTTCGATGAGTATACATACAAATCAAAAGTAGGAGAAAATGAATCTTTGCGATCTTATCATTATTAGCACTAAAATCAACTACAAGCTTTTTCTTTAGATTTTGATTTATTTTCGAAACTAATTTTAAAAAGAAGTTTATCTAACTGAATAAATCTTTATCTATCAATTATGATATACATACTAATAGTTTGATCATTATCCACTTATGCAATTTTTCTTTTCCATAATTTAAGTAAAACTATTATGAAGAGTAAAATACCATCGATATTACTTAACGCTTTCAACCAAATAACAATTGATGTATTGAAACAAACTGTTGCATTCATGTGAATACATTGTTATGATTCACCTTATTTTTTTTTCATTGTAAATGTCCTGTGATCGTCAGATAAGTAATACGAAAAAAAAA